AATCTTACTGAATAATCTTACTGAATATAAACACAGTTTGACATTATTAGCTGGCAAAGCATAGTTATCGATATCGATAGTTTTAATTTATTTCGTGTTATTTTTAGTATATTTCTATATACCTCCTGCTCAAAAAGTATCCGATTCAACTTAAATTGAATCGGTAAAAGAGAATTCGCCGAAGGAACTAAAAGCCATACCTGCACGGGCCTACGAAAAGTGTATGGAATATTGGGTTAAGCGTTGGCATATGTATATCGCTTCAGAAGGAACAAATTTTGAAGGAGATAAAATAAATTTCGATTAAAATTTAAATTTGTATGTTTTTTGACAAAACCGGGTACTTTTTGAGCTGGAGGTACATATTTCGTGAAATTCGCTTTTGTCTTCATCAGTAGAGTTCCTAATATTACAAACATCTATGCAACTTATATACTATTTATACTTATTACAAGTCTTATATTTATTTTTAATTAGTAGGGTTATTGTTGTTTTTTTCCTTGAGGGTGCAGGTACAAAATGGTGACGGGAACAAAATCGACTTTCAAATAGTTTAGATGTGACAATTCAGAAATTAAAAACAAAGTTACACTTATTATATATTTTATTTAATTTAGACATTGTATTAAAATGACAAAATCAAAGTCTCTAAAAGCATTTAATTAAAGTTTATATCTTAAACATTTTTCACTTCTTGAAATGCTGCGGAAAATATTATTATTCGAATGAGAGAAATAGCATAATGGATCTATATATGTTATAAATCTAATTTGAAGTCATATCCTATATGTAGGCTTATTTGACTTAACCGTAGCACAGTAAATTGCAATGTTCTTCATCTGATGCAAGAAAAAGTACTAGAGCATTCGCACCATAACTTTGGAAGGTTTTGATATATCGGATTGAAATTTTCTTAACTGTACTTTCTTAAGTCACGTATGGTCTTTATTGAAAATGGACATAAACAGACCTCAACAACATCTATTTTCTGTTTTCAGTGATATTTCTTAAAATTCAAGGGTGTAGGTTAATTAAAATATCATTTTAAAACTTTAAATGCAATTAAAACTTTAATGTCTGAATTAACTAAGCAAACGGATTTCAGATAATGTCTAAATACTATATAAATACTATATATGTGTATAAATACTATTAAAACTTTCAGATGTATATAGTGGTTCTGATCGATTCAACCTTTTTCCATTAAAGATTATGTGTAGACTAATTTAAGTTGAGGGTTATAACTTCTTTTTATTTTCTTTTCTCTTTTCTTTTCTTTTCTCTTTTATTTCTTTTCTTCTTTCAACTCTTTTTGTTTACATTATAGGCATTGTCATTTAAAGTCACAACTTCGTATTATTAAACGGTTATATATCAGATGACTGGTAGGAAATATCCAAATATGAGAACATTTTTAAAAAATATATTTATATTTATTATTAAATTTTTTTTTTAAAAATGTATTATAAATAAGAAGTTTTGTTTAAAATTATAAAACTTAATAAGAAATTCATGATATTATGCAGAAATACAATTCTATTGATGGGATAGCGTTTGGTTGATACATGGAAAAAAAGAATACGAAAAAAAGTGACACTTTTCCTGATGTACTTCTTTAATATATGCAGATCTACGTTAATTACAATATGAATACAGTTTATAACTTACAAAAAATTACTTAAAAGATTTATCCACAATATAGAGTTAAAGTACAAAAGTAATCTGACCCGAATAGGTCAATAATAATATATACTATAAATAGCCATTACTAATTATATAGGTAATCTTGGCTGATATATAAATCTTAAATACGTTGTTCCTATTGCATAACATTGAGTATATATAGTTCACCAAAATCGTTATGAATACTAAATTTTAGAAGACTTAATTAAGAAAAATTGAACGTAAAACTTACTATTTTAGGTAGACTAAAGTGTATAGGCTAATTATGCACTCAACTTTATTGAAAGATTCAATTCGCCGACATTTATTAAACCAAAAACTAATCAAATTCTTGATTTTTCAAACCGATTTGTGATTAACTATTGTTAAGTATGAAAAACTATAAATCCCACTATGGTGAAGGAGTTAGAATAGACACTTCTCTGGGAATTGTGCATGGTAGTAAGTGATCCCCCCCACTTGTCACACTCGATTAGAGGTGTGAATCTGCTACTACGGGGGTCAGTGGCCGGCAGCTTTGACTCTACTGACCAGTTGAAGTTGGACTCGTAGTGGCTGTGGTTAATATCCAAACTTACGCGGGATGAGTGTTCAGGTATTTGTTCATCATTCACTCTGCGTAAAGCTGTGTATTCATCACCGGGTGCTGAGACCCAAAGATCAGCAGAGGTTTAGATTCTACCTCACATCAAACCAAGGTGAAAGTAAGTCTTCATTGGCATCGGCAGAAATTCTTTGAATTTCCAAGGGGACATTGATTGATGACTTGTATTAATACGCGTGTTTTTGAACACCGTAGTGTTAAGCCTTTACAGCATAGAAAGTAGAACGTAAAATAACGATAGAGTTCATATGACCATCTATACACCCACACGAGAAAGGAATTAAAATATTCCCGATGTAAGACATGTCTGTCGTAAGAAAGAAACAAAATTCAGTAGTCACCACTCGATATTGTTTAAAGTATCGTGAATCAATGGCAAATGATGTTAAGAGCAGATAATGGCTAATGTGTGGGATATAAAGTATGTGGCATAATTATGATTGATCACTTTGATAAAGGCAAACCAATAACAGAGCAATATGCTTTGCCCTTTCAATGTTTTTTTGAACCTCCGGCTGGGTCATCAGTAATAGGTGGATCTTTACAACCCAACAAGACAATATTACGAAACACTATTGACATTTCTAAATAGTGCAGTTTAGCAGAAACGCGTTACATTATGAAGTGCTATACTCCATTTTATAAAAAAATCTCACTGTATAACAACTATTGCTGAAACCGGTTTTACAACAGATTTTATTATTGCAACACTGTCCGATTTTACTTAAGTTCACTTTATCATATTAGTGCGATTTATCAGATTGGTAAATTTTAATACATATATATAAATAAAAGTATTATTTTCCAAATTATTAAATATTTCGAAAGGAATAGGAATAAACAGGGTACCAATTGCCAACGGAGTCGAGCACTAAGACCATGGTTGATCTTTTGTGTCGCAACAGACCCTGATCGAACGGAAGACATTCCGCCTTCCGAATGAAAGTCAGAATGTCGGCCGTTGAGGACTTCCTAGTGTCAGAAGGGGAGAGTAGTTCTCGACCCAGTGACTTCCTTAATATTTCGATCATCTTTAACAGAACTTATAAAAAAATGGAGTACCATTGTAGCAAGTATATAAAACTCATTAGAGACTATGTCTAAATGATATTTCTAGTATTTCAAAATTTAAAAAGATGGCTTATTAAAAAACAAATTTTAATCGAATTTGGTAGGAATACTTATAAAATAAAAAAACATATTTTTATGATTTTTTTTCAAAAGTTGTAAAAGAATTGGAAAGGTTTTGCGCCAAGTCTAAATGACTTTTAGGCTTCTATGTCACAAAAAAAAAAAACATTTAAAGGTAAACAATAAATTCAACTCTTTATTTTGATTAAAATTGATTTATAAAACAGTTCTCATATTTATATTCCCATATTTATAATCATGGAGACTAAAAAATCGTTGATTCTTTATTTTTTTCAAAACTGACTTATAAAATAGCTCTTGTTTTTCTAATCATAAAGAGACTATTAAGCGGATTTGGTTATATACACATAATTTTAATAATATGTACTTACGAAAGATTTATTAAAATTTATAATAATTTAACATAATGAATTATTTTTTTAAATTTATAATCTTAAGGTGTCTTTTTGATAACCATAAACGTATACGCTTTTCACATTATTAACCCATATCTTCATTACATGAGCCCAACGATTTTGGGAGAGAGTAAGTCAAAACATATACACACCCCACACTTAAAATAATATATATAAATATATATTCTTTTTTTTTTTAATTAAAAACAAATTATTAATAATTATTATATTAATTTCTTTAATTCTCCATATAAATTTCAATATACTTAGCATTCATTCTTAATGCATTCGCTGCGATGGTATATGCTTGAATGCGTGTTTGCAATGTTAGCAAGCACTTTTATGCCGATTGTAGCGGTATTTACATACATATTTTAAATTGTAATTGTTGATTGAGCGAATGTAAGCAAATAAAAACAAGCACGGTCACATGTAGGAAGTATATTTGAATTTATTTACAATGATTCCTTGAGATTTTTTTTTAAAAGTAATATTTTCACATAATACGCACTATATTTTATAAATTTTTTTTTTTTTTTTAATAATATTTGTGAACAAATATGTATTATTTGTTTTTTTATTTTTTTGTTTTTTTACTTATTATTATTGTACTTTTTTTTACTTTTTTTATTAACAAAAAAATTTTTTAAATAAACGTTAAATGAGTTGCGAATTTTATTCTATTTTTAAAAAAATAAAATATTTAATTTTTTTTCACTAAATTTATTTTAAGTTTTGTTTTATTAAAAATAAATATTTTTAAATTGAATTAATATTTAATTTGTACATATAAATTATCGTAAGTTTTTAAAGCGGCATTTCAAAAACATAAAAACTAAAGAAAGTCACTTTTCGGCACTAAAATTCATTTCGATTATATTTAAAATTTTTTTTTAATTATTTATAAAACTTAATAACACCATTTTGTTTACATTTTTGTGCATAATTTTTTGTTTGGATGCTGGGTAATTTTCAATGAATTGATGACACACACAATTTAAAAAAAATTGGAACACTGAACAATTTTAATTGGAAGGATTTTTGATTTTGGGATTTATTTTGCATTACTTTTTATTATTTTTAATGCTTTTGTTTGCACTATTTTATTAAAAATGAAAAATACCAAACTAAGAACAAAAAAAAAAACAAAAATTATTGTAACATACAAACAAATAGAAGCCACCTCCGCCTCCTCACACACAATATGCAGCAGCACAGCACAGCACAGCGCACACACGAAAACGCACACACGTTATTTTAGGCGCTTCAATTTTTAAATTCTTCTTCTTCTTCCTCCTTTTAACCCTAAAAGAATTGTTTGGTTTGAAGCCGTTCGTTGTCTCTTTGCACGTATTTAATATTACCGAAATTAACAATATTTGTTCCGTGTTTACTCTACTATTTTGAATTATACATAAACGTTTTGTTTCAACAAACAACACCGTAAAACACTTCCAAACCTTATGAAATCGATTTGTAACTAAAATGCTCCGTATTAAAATGAAATTTCTCAACTGAACGACGTCGACTGCACACCGACGACGACTATGACTGAATGTGCGAATGTGAAAGAATCAGCAGGCAGCAAAGTCAGCAAAGACAGCAAGCAAGCAAGCAAGCAGGCAGGCAGGCAAGCAGGCAGGCAGGCAGTCAACAGCAGCAGTAAAAACAAACTCAGTATGATATATAGTTAGTTGTGGATGAGTAAGGTAGTCAAGAGGGTATAATGGGGACATGTACAAGAAACTGTTTGTAATAATGTTGTTGCTATTGTTATTCATGTTGTTGCTCTTGTTGTTGTTGATGATGATGATAAACAACAACAGTTAACAGAATTTTGTGAAAAGTAAAACAACAAACCACACTATTAAACGTAATAATGACGTTTTGTTGTGAAATTTTTGTTATTTGTATTATCATTATTATTATTATTATTATTATTGTACGAGTATGTATGTGCTCCTCTTAAGCGCCAAAGCATTTTCAAAAATAAACTAAGAACAACGAATTGTCGACGAACGGCTTTACAACTACAACTGCGCGAGTAGTGAGAGTCAAACAAACAAATGAAATGGGCAACGAAATAGCAGAAAATTGTACAAACAACAAACAGGAGCGTTTCAATGAAAAATGAAGGTAGCCGTGTACCTACTAAATATATACGTATATAAAAACAACAATAACAAGAGCCAGATTCAAAAAAAAAAAATAAATAAAATGAAAATAATAAAAGAAATATGCACAAAAACAAAATCAAAAACAAAAAAAATGAATTGAATTTAAGGTGAACAACACCAAACGTCAACAATAACAACAACAACAAGAAAACACAAAACACAAAACACAGCCAGCAAGCATACATCAACATCATTATAGTAATCATCAACAGCATTATCATTAACATTATTATTAACAATAAAAGCAGCGCGGCAGTAACAGCTACAGCTACAGCTATAGCTAAAGCTAAAGCAAAAGCAAAAGTAACAGCAACAGCCAGAGTCACGGCAATTGTATTATTATTGTTATTGCTGTTTTCATATTTGCAAACCAGAGCGCGCACAAGAGATAAACAAGTGTATTTTTGAGAGAGTGTGAAGCATTAATATAAGCTATTTACATGTTTACGCATGTACGCATACATATATATATGCACTTACATATCTATATATATATATGTATGTATATGAATATATTTTAATTATGTGTATGCGCTTATAAGTATGTGATATTGTCTATAAGCTTGCAGGTGTTTGTGTGTGGCAAGTGTGCGCTTGGTAAGTTCATGAAAACGGCGCGCCAAAAAGCATTTTTACTACGAAAAATACTATGCAAATAAATCACAAAACAAAAACAAAAAAAACTCAATACCAACAAATAAGGAGAGAAGAATTACAAAAACAAATTCAAAACAATAAAAAGACAGCAAAAGAAAAAAAGAATATTAAAAAAAAAAAAACAACCAAGCAAAGAAATAATGCAAGGAAATGTAAAACATAAAAACAAAACAAAAAAAAAAGATGTGGGAAATTTGTTTTGTTTGTTTTTCGTTTGGTGTGTTTTTTACGTATGTTCTTCGCTGCGGTACAATAGCATTTCATGGTGACGGCGGCATTTACTACATGTGTGTAATTATTATTTTTGCATGGGGTCGCTGTTGTTGTCACTGTGCTGCTGCTGCTGTTGTTGTTGTTGTACCGTGACTGTTGCTAGTTCTGCTACCGCTACCATTCCTACGCACGGATTGCGCTTTGTCTTGCACTCACACCAATAGTTTTTAATTGAGATAAAGTGCATTTGTCCAAAATTCATATTTATATGAATGCATGTTTGTATGTATGTACATTCCGTATAATAATACTAACATGTACATACATACATATGTACATGCATATGTTAAACAAAGCGCCGCTGTTAATTAGGAACGCAAACCCAGTGCTCTGCACTTTGGCATTGCCGTTGCCATGAATTTGTCAAGTGCAAGGTTATTTTTGAGTATTGTTGTTGTAATGCACATTATATCTCTTAATTAATAATTTGATTAAACCAATCGGTCAACCGAAATCGAAATTTGGTAAATGCACAAAGCCTTTATGTTTACGCTTTGTGGGTAAATGAATTTATTTGACAAAACAAAATTTTTAATTTAATTAACATAAATATGTTAAAGTAAGAGACTTCTCTATTCACTTACATATACGAAAGTATAAACATATATAAATACATACATATGTATAGAAATTTAACGAATAGCATTTATTATGAAGTTATTTATATCTTCAGTAATTATTTATTAATAGAACAGTTAACATAAGAATGCTTAAAAATGTTAATTTTTTTTAATTTTCAACAGCAAATTATTTATTTCACTATTTATCGTTTCTTCAATAAAAGAATATACAAATATATCTAAACATATTAAGTCAACCGCCCCTTCCATTATTTCTAAATAATTCCTTCCACTTTATATTATCCATACCTATTAACTTTGTAGCCTAGGTAAATATCTTTGGTATTTCTTTCATATTATCCTTTTTTTAGATTCTAGCGGGCTACAACAACAACAACCACCGCCCCATAACTCATGTCCCTTAATTCGATGATCGGTTTAACTATTACCTCCCAAGGTGCTTTCACTATTTAATATTAGGTGAGGTCAGAGTGGTGGCTTTATACTTGTGCTAAAATATTTCCCGTTTTGTGATAACTCGAATAAGCGTTCTTCATACGCAAACCATAATGTTACGACTCATACATACTTGGCTAACTTCCCATCGCTCTAAAATAGTCATTTTCAAAAAAAGATGAAATACGGATAATCGTTTATTGGCTTAAGAAAGAATTTAACAAAGAAATTGAAACATGGGTTTTTCATCCTCTTTAGAGTCATAACCACGACAAATATCATTATAGATGGCGCAAAAATGTTGAATCGTCTATTGGATTAAGAAAGAATTTAACAAAGAAATTGAAACATGGATTTCTCATCCTCTTTAGAATCAGAACCACGACAAATTTCATTATCGCTGGCACAAAAATGTTAAATCGCCTATTGGCTTAAGAAAGAAATTGACAAAAAAATTGAAACATGGATTCCTCATCCTCTTTAGAGTCATAACTACGACAAATGTTATAATAAATGGCGGAGAAATGTCTTATCTTCTTATCTTGTCTTATCTTAGCTAAAGATATGAATTGACAAAGAAATTGAAACATGGATTTCTCATCCTCTTTAGATTCACAATCACGACAAATGTCATTATAGGTAGGCAAAAGATTTTTAATCTTCTATTGGTTAAATATAGGCATTGATAAAAAAAATGAACATGAATTTCTTTTTCTCTTCAGAGTCAGAACTCAGACAGTATCGAGTAAAAAGTCTTAAGACACTAACTTCCGATTTATGAAGCAAAGAACAAGAATAGTCATAGCCACGATAAATGTCTTTATACTCATAAGACAGACCAATCACATAGGATGTCTTTGTAATATGCAGTGACCTACCTGTCAGCACCGACGTCTTGTTGAGCAGATTCTGCTTTCATTGAAGCAATTGATGGACATTTTCTTATCCAGTTCCGACAAGTTACATCTTGTCCAAAGAGATCTTAAGATACATTTAAACAGAATCGTTGAAGAACACCCAAATATAATTCTGTAATATTCTGACCTTTTGGGAAAAGTGAACTGTCTTCGTATTTTATTTTTAAATTTTTGAATTGTTACGTTGAAACTATTTTAAAGTAAAGTCGTTAGTTTTTTTAAGTATTAATAAATTTTTTTTGGAGTATTATTTTAGGTATATTTCTACTTGTATGGTGACATCAAGTAAAAGTAGTCACGTTTCATCTAATATCATGGACGTGTAACAGTTACTTGCTAATAGTTTTTATGAATCTAGTTTCATAACATTTCTATGGGTCTCTAAAATCCTGAAATTTTTTATCAAGACCATCCAGCAGTTTTGACTTAACTAACAGCTTTGCTTTGGTCGGGGATACCATAAAGAACACGATAAGTGGTAAGCTGAAATCTTTAATGTAAAATGGAAAGCCGTTAAAAGTTAGTATTGATTGAGTTACATCATATGCGTCGTACATGCTTAGTGGATGGTTCGCTGAAAGGACTATTTGGTTCACTGAGATGGTCAGCCTATATTGCGTAGTGGAAAGCCTTTAAAATTTAGTTTTGATCGAGTTAATATCCATAATGTTCATATCTAAAGTCAGTGAACTTAGCAAAGCAGTGAAGTAGCAAAATTATGGTCCATAGGTTACTTCAAGTGGTTGGTGTGTTTGTTTGCCTGTTCGCTATGTAGTTAGTGCGTCAAGTCATCACTCTCATTAGTTCCACACTCAGTCATTGGTGGGGTAGTGATGTCATCACCGATTTAGACTTGAGGCAGGCTTCGATTTTTGAATATTGATATATTATGTTAATTATTTTTTTAACATTATCAGATATTATAGTCACTGATATATTATATATATATATAATGACACTGAAGGATGAAAATTTGATATTGTCACTTCAGACGTAGTAACTTCCCGTAAATTTCTTGAAATGTTATCAAAATCTGTGGGTGTATTAGTGGAGGAACTCATACCGAAGTATGTTATTGCTCATAGATGTCAGCATTACAAGTACCTACATATGTATGTTCTTTAGGAAGACTTCAGAACACAAGTTTCATACTACTTCAACTTGCTAAGTTTAGTTTTATGCATAATGCATAAAGTATATGATTTCCTTAGTGGGTTAAAGAGTCTCCCACTGTGGGTGTTGATGCTTTCCACCAAAAATAAAAAAAAATTTGAATTCCTTTAAAGAGTGAACTCAGCTTTTTTTGGCATAGATAAGTTTACACACATTTAAAAATAAATTTTTAAAAAATTTGTTCGTTGACGTTTTATCTTCGCTATGATTTTTGATTGTTCCAAAGGTAACCTCAGTTAAGGAGAATTGTTTATAAGCAGAAACAATTAAAAAAAAACAAAAAAAAATTAAGCAAAATGCTTTATAGTTAACA